GACGCGTGTTGGGTATGGTTTGGCGATAGGCTGTTGTGATTGGATGGCAGTTGTGCTGACGGCACCAGAAGGTAGTCGTGGCTGTAGTCCACATAAGTCGGGATAAAACCGTTTCCATTCTGTGTTCGCAAAACATTATCATTCAATTAATGTTTGTTTTATATTTTTTCTTAATATACAATACAAAAGTATAGGAATCCAAATGACAAAAATAGCCACTTTTCATAGGGCTTGCAAATTAGTGAGAGTATATAAATGTGTATTTTGGGATTTAAATAATTCAAAGCAAAGATTGTGGCAATAATTACCTGAACGCTTGGAAAGACAAAAGCCTGTGACGAACTGTTTGTCTTGTTATAAATATTATTCAACACTTGTGTTATATCTTTGGGCTCATTGTGTCCATTGGACTGTTGGTCGGTGTCGTCCCACTGTTGGGACAGAGAGCTGGCGGTTCTGACCTCCATCTTGATGTCGGAGTCGGTGCGAGAACTGCCAGAACTGCCCGAACCGATGGCCATAGGGTTTGTCTTTCCATTGTTTACGTCAACCGATAAGGTCTGACCTATTTTCAGGTCTGAGAATCTAATCTTATGCCTAAACCATAGGATTATTATTATTGTTGAGGCAATTATGAAAACAATTCCGCAGATTATGATTCCGATCGATAAAACCAGTGGTGAAAAGTTGGCTTTAATTGTAAAGTAATGAATGTTTTGATTAATTTTTAAAAAATAAAATATTTATTAAATAATTTTCGAAATCAACGCAAAAATTAATGGATTTTTCAATGAAATTAAAAATATATAATCCTTTCCGTAATTAACAATAAATAATGGATTTGTGTATTAATTAAATTCAAATTAAATCATAATATTTTTCTCTAATCGAAACCAAAATTATAGATAAGATTTTTAATCAGAAATTAATTTCGAGATTAATACAAATTCATTGATCACTCGATAGATATTAAGAAAATTGTTTCAATCAATTGAATGAATAAAATATTGAATTAATAATAACTCAA